ACTTTATTTATACCCTCATCGGGGGTTTTCTTTGATTTTATTTAATAGTTTTGGGCTATTACTTTTCCCCTTTTTAACCAGGGAAATGGAAAAGAATCTTTCCTATAAGCCTGCGTGTTGTAAAAGTCAACTAAAATCCGGGGGAACAATGGGCTAGTAACCCTTTTCCCGTAAGTTACTAAAAAGAAAAAGAAAGAAAAATTGTCAAAAATGGGGAAATCTGAAGTGCGTGGATGTTGTGCAAATGATAAGAAAGAGATGTTGTGGATGTTTTAATGAATGAGAAAAACGGATGTCCTGGCTTTTAAATAAACAAAGCTGAAGGGGGTGGGAGAGTTTCAAAGGAGAGGAATAAAAAGGGGTTAGGTCAGGGGGTTTTAAATAGAGTTAGAGCTAAAGAAGGATGCAATAAAGTTTTAAGGTAACTATGGCGGAAAAGGGGACTGCAATGTATAAATTCAAGGGTTAGTGAGTAAAATAAAGATTGGATGTGAAAAAGGGGGTTTTATAAGTGGTATGCACCTGGAAAGAGAGAAGTGTAGAGGAGAGAGAGGGATTTGGAAAAGTTTTGAATGCTGGGAGTTTTGAATCAATGTGAGGTAAAGGTTTGGGGGTTTCAATTAAAGTGGTAAAAAATTTTGCAGGGGGTATAGGTAAATTTGGGGGGCCAGGGGGAAATGTAAATGGGGAGCCTTTAATGAGCTATGTTAGAAAGAAATTTGGTAAAAATAATAATATTTTTTGAAAAAGGGATAAATAAATTACAAGGGATGATTTACACGAAAAGAATGTGTTTGTTAGATTTGTATTGGGGGATAAAAAGGGTTTATGGGGAGGCCCAGAGTACATTTTATAGGGGGCAACTGATATATCGGATCATTTTTTATTGGCTAAGTTAGGTAAGAGGTAGATGGGGAAAAAAGGAAGGTGGAACACAAGTAAGAGGGGGGTGAAATGTATAAACTAAGGGAGGGGGAAGTTGGGTGATATAAGGACTATTGGGAAAAGGGGGGCTAGTGCAAAGTAGATGAGGGGGTTGAAGAGGGTTGGAATAGTTTTAAAAATGCAGTTTAAAATGTGGGGCAGAAGTTTGTGGTTATAGGAGGGTGGTGGCAGGAGGAAAGAGGAGTGACTGGTGGAATGATGAAGTAAAGGGTGTGATAAAAGAGAAAAAGGTAGCTTATGAGAGGTTTTTACAAAGCAGAAGTGTTATAAGAAGAGCAGAGTATATGGAGAGTAAAAGAAAGGTAAAGAGAGTGCAAAAGGAGAGCAGATGATAGAGTGGGAGAGGCACTGTCAAGAAATTTTAATGAAAATAAGAAAAAATTTTGGAGTGAGTTAAACAAGTTAAGAAAGCCTAGGGAAAGTATGGATTTGTCAGTTAAAAACAGAGTAGGGGAATTAGTAGATGGGGAAAGGGAGGTATTAGGTAGATGGCGAGAATATTTTGAGGAACTTTTAAATGTTGAGGAAGAAAGGGAGGTGGTAATTTCATGCACTGGCCAGGGAGGTATACCATCTTTTAGGAGTGAAGAAGAGCAGAATGTAAGTGTGGTGGAGGTACGTGAGGCATTACGTAGAATGAAAGGGGGTAAAGCAGCTGGAACTGATGGGATCATGACAGGAATGTTAAAAGCAGGGGGGATATAGTGTTGGAGTGGTTGCTACTTTTGTTTAATAAATGTACGAAAGAGGGGAAGGTACCTAGGGATTGGCGGAGAGCATGTATAGTCCCTTTATATAAAGGGAAAGGGGACAAAAGAGATTGTAAAAATTATAGAGGAATAAGTTTACTGAGTATGCCAGGAAAAGTATACGGTAGGGTTATAATTGAAAGAATTAAGGTAAGACAGAATGTAGGATTGCAGATGAGCAGGGAGGCTTCAGAGTGGGTAGGGGATGTGTAGATCAAGTGTTTACATTGAAGCATATATGTGAACAGTATTTAGATAAAGGTAGGGAAGTTTCTATTGCATTTATGGATGTAGAAAAGGCATATGATAGAGTGGATAGAGGAGCAATGTGGCAGATGTTGCAAGTATATGGAATAGGTGGTAAGTTACTAAATGCTGTTAAGAGTTTTTATGAGGATAGTGAGGCTCAGGTTAGGGTGTGTAGAAGAGGGAAAATACTTCCCGGTAAAAGTAGGTCTTAGACAGGGATGTGTAATGTCACCATGGTTGTTTAATATATTTATAGATGGGGTTGTAAAAGAAGTAAATGCTAGGGTGTTCGGGAGAGGGGTGGGGTTAAATTATGGGGAATCAAATTCAAAATGGAATTGACACAGTTTACTTTTTGCTGATGATACTGTGCTTATGGGAGATTCTAAAGAAAAATTGCAAAGGTTAGTGGATGAGTTTGAGAATGTGTGTAAAGGTAGAAAGTTGAAAGTGAACATAGAAAAGAGTAAGGTGATGAGGGTATCAAATGATTTAGATAAAGAAAAATTGGATATCAAATTGGGGAGGAGGAGTATGGAAGAAGTGAATGTTTTCAGATACTTGGGAGTTGACGTGTCGGCGGATGGATTTATGAAGGATGAGGTTAATCATAGAATTGATGAGGGAAAAAAGGTGAGTGGTGTGTTGAGGTATATGTGGAGTCGAAAAACGTTATCTATGGAGGCACAGAAGGGAATGTATGAAAGTATAGTAGTACCAACACTCTCATATGGATGTGAAGCTTGGGTGGTAAATGCAGCAGCGAGGAGACGGTTGGAGACAGTGGAGATGTCCTGTCTAAGGGCAATGTGTGGTGTAAATATTATGCAGAAAATTCGGAGTGTGGAAATTAGGAGAAGGTGTGGAGTTAATAAAAGCATTAGTCAGAGGGCAGAAGAGGGGTTGTTGAGGTGGTTTGGTCATTTAGAGAGAATGGATCAAAGTAGAATGACATGGAAAGCATATAAATCTATAGGGGAAGAGGAGGGGTAGGGGTCGTCCTCGAAAGGGTTGGAAAGAGGGGGTAAAGGAGGTTTTGTGGGCGAGGGCTTGGACTTCCAGCAAGCGTGCATGAGCGTGTTAGATAGGAGTGAATGGAGACGAATGATACTTGGGACCTGACGATCTGTTGGAGTGTGAGCAAGGTAATATTTAGTGAAGGAATTCAGGGAAACCGGTTATTTTCATATAGTCGGACTTGAGTCCTGGAAATGGGAAGTACAATGCCTGCACTTTAAAGGAGGGGTTTGGGATATTGGCAGTTTGGAGGGATATGTTGTGTATCTTTATACGTATATGCTTCTAAACTGTTGTATTCTGAGCACCTCTGCAAAAACAGTGATAATGTGTAAGTGTGGTGAAAGTGTTCAATGATGATGAAAGTATTTTCTTTTTGGGGATTTTCTTTCTTTTTTGGGTCACCCTGCCTCGGTGGGAGACGGCCGACTTGTTGGGGGGAAAAAAAATTTTTTAACATTGGCTGTTTCCCACCGAGGCAGGGTGACCCAAAAAGAAAGAAAAAACTTTCGTTATCATTCAACACTTTCACCATCACTCACACATAATCACTGCCAATATCCCAAACCCCACCTTTAAAGTGCAGGCATTGTACTTCCCATTTCCAGGACTCAAGTCTGGCTAACCAGTTTCCCTGAATCCCTTTACAAAACATTACCCTGCTCACACTCCAACAGCTTGTCAGGTCCCAAAAACCACTCCTCTCCATTCACTCTTATCTAACACTCTTGCTGGAAGTCCAAGCCCATTGCCCACAAAATCTCCTTTACCCCCTCCTTCTAACCTTTTTGGGGACAACCCCTACCCCGCCTTCCTTGTCCTACAGATTTATACGCTCTCCAAGTCATACCTCCTATTTTCCACACTTTGAATTCTCTGCATAATATTTACACCACACATTGCCCTAAGACATAACATTTTCAATGCTTCCAGCCACCCCCTTGCTGCAGCATTTACAACCCGTGCTTCACGCCCATATAATTCTATATTCTCGTACATTCCCTTCTTTGCCTCCATGGATAACGTTCTTTATCTCCACAGATATCTCAACACACCACTCACTTTTTTTCCTTCATCAATTTTATGGTTAACCTCATCCATCATAAACCCATCTGCTGACAAGTCTACTCTCAAATATCTGAAAACATTCACTTCTTCTATACTCCCTCCCTCCAGTGTGATATCCAATTTTTCTTTATCTAAATCGTTTGATACCCTCATCACTCTACTCTTATCTATGTTCACTTTCAAATTTCTATCTTTATACATATACGGTGCTTTTATTTTTTCAACACACTGGCTGTTTCGCACCAAGGCAGGGTGACCTAAAAAGAAAAATGAAAGTTTTTTCTTATACATGTAGTAATTTATACAGAAGGGGTTACTAGCCCCTTGCTATATGGTGTTACTTTCATGTATTTAACAAGTAAACACCTATTAGCTCAGTGGTAGGTTTCTGAAACTACTGTAGATTAACTTTTAATGACTGGCCATCAGTGGCATAAGTTATATTAGTGGTAAAACCAGAGCCTTTCAAGTTGTTGCAACATCTAATTTGTCTTAATCACTATTTTACAGTATTCTATACACTGTATGTATTTTGCTTCATTATCAGTTTGTAGCATTTTAGGTGTCTTTAGTTTTATATTAATAAAAATATTTTTTTTAACATGCCACTCACTGGAATTAGGATTTCAATCCATACCATATTCCTGCTAAACCAAAATCTTAATTGATGGGTTTGATGGTGTAGTGGTAGAGGACATCATGTATTTAAGTTTTAACCTAGCTGGGATATTATGGTATGGGTTTAAGCCCATTCCAGCATGAGGTATGGTAGCGAGTTTGTAAAATTACTCTGTCGTGTTTAAGCTTATAAATTTTTTTTATGAGGCTCTTTGTAATCAGAAAGTAAGATCAGAAATACAAGATTTTTTCGGTTAAATATATTTTTACTACATTATTTTTCTGATAAAATTTGCAAATTTCTGACAGTGCCATACTTAATGTTTTCTAAAATAAAGAATTATTTGTCAACAGTCGGTAATGGCCCATTGTATATGGTTAGCTGATGAAGAGATCTACACTCTTCGTGAACGAGGAGTTGGTATTGCCCATTGTCCAAATTCAAATATATCTATCCGTTCTGGCCTTTGTGACATACGTCGCCTGTTAAATCATGGGCTTAAGGTTGGCCTTGGTACAGGTAAGTTTTCAGTTCCATATAGCTGAGTGTTCAGTAAACCACACTACATGGACAATACTTTTGAAATAATTTAGAAGCAAAAAAGGCAGCTGGACATGTTAAATAATTCACATAATTAGAAATTCAACATAGAGAAAAGATGAAGAAAGGGCTTCTTAAAGAGTACTGTTGAGGTAAAAAAAAAATAAAAAAGTTTAACTTTTTCTTTATAATGATGACCATTTCTAACCGGGTCACCATCTGGAAAAGACCTGGGCTAGGACAAGACCAGTGAACCTACTACAGTACAGTACACGTAAAGCAACTTAATGAATGAAACACTCGCCCACACTCATTCTCTAGTTACAGGATATCAGCTATAATGTAAAGAAATAAAATGTAAATTAAATAGAAAAATGCTGGCTGAGAAAATTATGAATATTTGTGATTTGATAATCCATGAATATTAGCTTAACCCTTTACCCCGTGTCTCGCATACTAGTACGGGAGGGCCCCACTGCATGGAGCTACGCTTTACGGTGATTCACTAATGTGGACATTTCAAATTACAACCAAAAATTTGCTTATATGGCTTCCTGATTCACTATTACAGCATCCGTGCGCTACTCTGTTTACATCCTCCATGAGCTCTGCGCCTATTGATTATGTCTGGAAAATGAGAAACAGAAAATCACATATTAGTGCAATAATTGTAAAATGCAAACATCGGTTTTGTTTAAATGTCGCTGTTGCTGATTAGTGAATAATTTTTCAAACACGCTATAAAATCTTAAGTTTTTATCAGTTTTCACTCGTTTTAGTCTTATTAGATTCAGAAAAATGAACTCTTATCGATTTGTCAGGAAAAAAAAAAATCAAACTCTTCCCACACACGCAGGAATTCTTTTACCAGGGTCTCCCTCAGTTAAAAAGTTTAAAAGTGAAGTGTAGAAATCTTGTAAAGGGAAGTAATCAAGTTTGACCCAAGGAAGGGAAGGGAAGCTTCATTTCCATGGCTCGAGAGCTCTTCACCGGTATTTAGGACACAGCATAAGAGCACACACACGTGCATTTAAGTAAAAGTAATTCTGGTATATAGTGGGTGATACACTGGTCGTTAGTTGATGAATCTAAACAAATAAACTTAGTAATGCTAGAAGCCCATCTTAAAATTATTTTTATTCATAATTATACTTTCCTGTATTAATGTTCAGAAATTTCCTGTATTTTATTATTCTAAAACCCTGCAAAAATTATTGTCCACAGACTGTTCTGGTGGGTACAGTTCCTCTGTGTTAGATGCTCTTCGTCAAGCACTGCAAGTTTCCAATGTGCTCGCACTAGAGCGTGATCAAGATTACCAGAGACTCACCTTTAAGGAGGCATTCCGTATGGCAACGTTGGGAGGTGCCAAAGGTATTGCTGTTTTTTTTTTAATTCACAGGGAAGTGCTAAACCCATGAGGGTCATACAGTGTCTGGGAATGGAAAGTTCCAATTCCTTGGAATAAGTCCTTCAATATCAAGACATCCCCCCCCCCTCTCCCTTTCCTCCATCTGAGGTGGTTTCTTTTTATGGCTAAGGTTTAAGTATCAGATCTTGTATATTCAGTATGTCATAAGCAGGAATGAGGAAAGTTAAGCATTCACTAGTAAATTCTCATATTAGAATCGTATTTTACCTTGGACATTATATGATTTTACCAAATCTCAGAATAATAATGCTCATAGGCATCCATTGTAAAAGTTGAGATATAATCCATGGAAATTTTTTACTTAAAACTCAAGAGCAAAAAGAAAAAAATATTAGTTTAAATACTGTATGTACCAAGAGTCCACAATAACGTAAAATTTTAGGAGAACTCTAGCTCTTTGTCCTTCCTCTGAAGTATTGTTTGTGATGAGCTTAAACATGAGTTTGAAACACTATTTTATCTAATTCTTGTTTAATTTTTTTAGTGCTAAACATGGAGGACCGTATTGGGAACTTTGAAATTGACAAGGAGTTTGATGCTTTACTAATTGACGTATCTGCACCTGGGTCAGCAGTTGATATTTTTAGTAAGGTAATACATAATTGTTGGTTGTGTTTTCACTTTGTCTTCACATAGTTAAATTTGTATTGTTGGTAGAATAACCAATGTTAACAAAGAACCAGTTAACAGAAAGGGCAGAATTTGAGTTTATGGTAAGCTAGTCCTAAATCTAGTAGGCCAGTGCTTTAGATTGGTATATATTCAAATCCTGCCTGTTCTGTAAGTTATTGACAATTGTATTACATGTAATACAAATTTGTGAATCAAAAAGACTGATGCAGTATCATTTATGCCACTTTACATGGCCTCTTCAAGCCATTCCAGCTGAAGACATTGAGTAACCTAGCATAATAATGGTTCTGTCAGTAATTTTTTACAAATTATTTTCATTTTTTTTTTTTTTTTATTATCACACCGGCCGATTCCCACCAAGGCAGGGTGGCCCGAAAAAGAAAAACTTTCACCATCATTCACTCCATCACTGTCTTGCCAGAAGGGTGCTTTACACTACAGTTTTTAAACTGCAACATTAACACCCCTCCTTCAGAGTGCAGGCACTGTACTTCCCATCTCCAGGACTCAAGTCCGGCCTGCCGGTTTCCCTGAATCCCTTCATAAATGTTACTTTGCTCACACTCCAACAGCACGTCAAGTATTAAAAACCATTTGTCTCCATTCACTCCTATCAAACACGCTCACGCATGTCATTGTGAAATTATCAGGTTGTACACTGTTGTTACATGTTATGTTTTCTAGTATCTCTTCAAACAGAGAAGTTGGTGTGTATGTTCTAAAATATTGTAGGAGGTTCATGGCTGACAGGTCTGAGTTATTAATTGGTTCCATCAGTTAAATTTTTTTTTATTTGAAAAGGAATTTTGACATTTCATTTAACACACACGAGAGGTTTAGAAAGGCAATACACTTCTGTACCTTACTTTGAGAAACAATAGGGCACATACATTTGTTTTATTTCTACAATTACTAGTTTATAATTTTATGGAGTGAAAATAAAATATGACACATTTAGTTACTGCCAGGTATGGTGGTTGAACATTTATCCATAAGTCAATTCCTTAGTTGAATTTTCTAGTTTTTAATTGACACTGCAGTGGAATTTAGAATAGTATTGGAAGGTTTAGGGATTATCCTAGGTTAATCAACTATATTTTTTTTAATGTGGATGTGTTAGAGTAATACCATACTATGTATAAACATTAATGAATCATGATTCAATTAGATTGTCTGCAGCATGTTCGTAGTGCACTCCAAATTGACAAGTACAGTACTGTGCTAGTACTGAAAACTCAAGACACATGTTAAGATAAAAAAACAGATCAAATAATGTGTGCATTATGTTCAGTAACTGTACATAGCAGTGAGGACATTATTTTTTATTTTATTTATTATCACACCGGCCGATTCCCACCAAGGCAGGATGGCCCGAAAAAGAAAAACTTTCACCATCATTCACTCCATCACTGTCTTGCCAGAAGGGTGCTTTACACTACAGTATTTAAACTGCAACATTAACACCCCTCCTTCAGAGTGCAGGCACTGTACTTCCCATCTCCAGGACTCAAGTCCGGCCTTCCGGTTTCCCTGAACCCCTTCATAAATGTTACTTTGCTCACACTCCAACAGCACGTCAAGTATTAAAAACCATTTGTCTCCATTCACTCCTATCAAACACGCTCATGCATGCCTGCTGGAAGTCCAAGCCCCTTGCACACAAAACCTCCTTTACCCCCTTCCTCCAACCTTTCCTAGGCCGACCCCTACCCCGCCTTCCTTCCACTACAGACTGATACACTCTTGAAGTCATTCTGTTTCGCTCCATTCTCTACATGTCTGAACCACCTCAACAACTCTTCCTCAGCCCTCTGGACAACAGTTTTGGTAATCCCGCACCTCCTCCTAACTTCGAAACTACGAATTCTCTGCATTATATTCACACCACACATTGCCCTCAGACATGACATCTCCACTGCCTCCAGCCTTCTCCTCGCAGCAACATTCATCACCGCTTCACACCCATATAAGAGCGTTGGTAAAACTATACTCTCATACATTCCCCTCTTTGCCTCCAAGGACAAAGTTCTTTGTCTCCACAGACTCCTAAGTGCACCACTCACCCTTTTCCCCCTCATCAATTCTATGATTCACCTCATCTTTCATAGACCCATCCGCTGACACGTCCACTCCCAAATATCTTAATACATTCACCTCCTCCATACTCTCTCCCTCCAATCTGATATCCAGTCTTTCATCACCTAATCTTTTTGTTATCCTGTTGTGTATAGTTTCCAAATATAAAGCCATTATACTCAGTAACTATACATAACAGTGAAGGCATCATATTTATCCATGAAGAGGCAGAAAATATAAATTTTTTTTTATTCCTAATGGGTAAATTACAAATTTGAGAAAAAATTTAAATGGAAATTTTGAATTCAAGAGAATTTGACTGTGAGAGAAATTACTTTATTAGTTTTATTCATATACTGTAGTTCGCTGTACACTTTTTCAGGATACAATAGAAGATAAAATTCAGAAGTTCCTGTACACTGGTGACGATCGTAACATTGCTCGTGTCTATGTGGCGGGCCACAGAATTTTGGATCTACACAACAAGAACCTTCACTAATTCCTTCAAAAGTCTTTAAGTATGATGGTAATATTTACATGTTCATGCATTGAAGAAATCATATTTATTCGGTATGCCTTATATATGTGGATCTATTGAGTAGAACCAGTCATTCTGCCTCATCCCAGGTTCCTAATGCAAAAACCTTAAAAAGAACACTATTTAAGTGTTCTGATATACTGTCCAGCAAGTATGCTCTTAGGTGCCATATCTATATAAATGAAAGTTAATACTATTTTACATTATAATAATTATTGAAAAGTATTGTATATAGCTCAGACAGTTTTCTGGAAATAGCTTTTACAAAAATACATTACTATAGGACTTTTTAAAAATATAAGACATCCTACTACTTAACGAGGATTAATGTGTACCGGTATTGTATGGTATGTGGTATGAAAAGCTATTTTAGAAAATATTTATTTTTAAACAAACATTTAAATTAATAAATGTTAATGAAATTGTCAGAAAATTACATTTCAAAATACCCTCCAAAAAATAAAAATATTGGCAAAAGCTTTTTTTCATTCACTAAGGATGTTTTATTAGTTCTATGGGGTAATAACAGGAAAACTATGCAATAATCAACCTTAAACCAAAGTTGGAGGTTTTACACATTCAGCGTTGGCCTATGTTAAGTGTAATTCTTCCATATATTTCCATGCCACTGGTGAAGTATTCTTAGTGATTGAAAGAAGCTTTTTTTTTTTCCACCAGTTTTCCAATTTCTATAGGGTGTTATGATGTACGTACGTACGTGTGTGTGTGTGTGTGTGTGTGTGCAAAAAGCACTTTTCATCAAGAGGTCAATACCCATATTTAGACAGAAATGAAGTGATTGGTTGTCTGTATATTTTGACCTTGAACTGAGATCCTCTTTAGCAGATATGAATGTGAGAGAGAATATATAAGGGGTGATAAAAAAAAAAAAAAAGTGGGATAGATCAAGTGTACAATCTGTCTTAGAGAAAGTTGAAGGGACATGGAGCAGGTCATTAAGAGCTACTTGTAGTAAAGAATCAGTCTGGTATCTTCAAGAAGAGATGCTAACTTGGTAGTAGTAATAACTTGCATGTTGGCATTACATTTTATACTTTGTGCTAAAAAGAATAAAAAGGCACAATACTGTGAATGGAATACACAATGGTTCAAGTCAATCAGAAACATCATCATAAGTTTTTCTCATATGTGCGGGTTATTTCTATATTGTGCTAGACTTTTTTAAGTAAATTTTGAGGTCACATCTGTTTCCGTTGCCCTTTTACAATATTATTAACGTTTAGTAAAATGTTAGTGGAGGCCTGCTTCTTTTGTTTTTTGCGTGATGACTTTTTTTTTATCCTTCATGTTGATGTGACTTGAAATTTTTACTTGTTTAAACAGTAGTATTTTCCTGGCTATAGCTGGTGACTGCTATTCCATTACATTAGTTTCCAAACCATGGCCTGTCTACCCTACAAAAAAAGTTTTCATAGAGGATTGACACACACCAGATGTTTCTCACTTAATTGATTGCTTGTGGTAATTTGAGAAATAGATCTCAAGTTTGTTCGGATAAGAATACACATCAGTGACATTTTTCTTTTCTCAGAATTGTCTTGATATGATGAGATGACTAGTTTAGCTACCCTTAAAGAATTTACTACAACTAGCTAGTCATTCCATCTTATCAAGGCATCATGAGAAGTACAAGAATGTCACTGAAGTTGTGTTTTCTTACTCCAATAAACTTGGAACTGCTTTTCTAAGACCCATATGGTGGTGTATACCAACTCCCATGTAACAGCTTTAAGTTATATACATAGGGCAGACAGGCTGCACCTTGGAAACTTGTGTAACAAAAAAAATAAAAGCTATTATTTATGGCCAAAACTGCTGCTTTTCAACATGTAAAAACTTTGAGCTACATCAACATGGAAAGAAGCCATCACACACAAAATGGAATTACCACTTGCTGACACCCAATTTAATTACATGAAAACAACAATGGAAAGCAGATGCAACATTAAAATTTGCCTTGCAGAAACATTTTAGCAGTGTCAACAACAACAAAAACAGGCAAGTCATTTCTACTACCGAGATATCCAACTGACTCTGCTACAAGTAGCTCATGATAGCCCTGCCCCCAAAATTTAAAGCTTGCCAAAATACACAGCTCAAAATATAGACAAACCTATCATTCTTATCTCTGTCTTAATGAGCACTGACCTCTATATACATTCATGGGCTTGCTCTCTCTCTCTCTCTCTCACTGCATTTAGATATCTGGGAGTGAACCTGTCAGCAGTTGAATCAGTGAAAGACCAGGTGAATCATATAATAGATGAGGGTAAAAAGGTGGGTGATGTAGTAAGGCATCTATGGAAAGAAGTAAATCTGTAGATGCAAAAAAAGGAAATGTACTACCCACCTTTTTCACTTTATTCATTCATTTTATCATAGACCCATGTGCTGACATGTCCACTCTTAAATACTTAAATATATCCACCTCTTCCATACTCCTACTTTGTATCAGATCTGGTATCCTTTAATCCCATACCCCTTCACAACACCCTGAGCATTCACTTTACAACCCCACCTATGCACATGTTAAACAACCACTGTGACATCCCATATCCCTGTAAGTTCTACTTTCACTGGGAAAGTGCCCCCCTCTCTCCTACATGCCATAACCTGAGCCTCACTGTGCATAAAAACTCAATCTTATTGATCCCACTCTAAAACAGTTTCATACTCTAAGCAAAATTTTCTGATACACACTTTCATTCTCCCATTGTTTCTTGTTTTGCACCCTACCCTCCACCTCCTCTACTTCCTCTTTATTTCCTGCACTTAGCTCACCTTTTCCTCAATAGTTGCTGATGTAAGTAATGTGAGGGAGATGGGAGAACTACACAGATTATGAAAAGATAGCAAAGTTAGATCACACACCTTGCCTTGAAGACAGCAACCTGCTGAAGAGGGTTTCTGATGTAAATCAAAATATAGAGTTTTTTTTTTTTTTTTTTTAATCTTTTTTTTTCTGTCCAAGTTGTTTCTCACCTCTAATGGGAAATAAAATAATTGTAGTATAGTTTAGCACTAAAACATGCTAATAATCTACAGGTGTGTGTGTCATCTGTAAATGGCTGAAATGTATGAGATGTTGCCATTTACTCTCACTCAGCTTGGGGCCATAAATTTTAACTGGAAATGTTCCCTATGGTGAATATCAGTGTAGTATACAACAGTGATACTATATACTGTTCAGTATACTGTATTTTTTAATATTAATCATCATTTATAATAAATGAATGCAGATAGACTTGAAACAATAATCAAAGAATGTTAAAGATGTAAATAATTTTTTCAGGGATGATACTAATAATAAATACAGCCTGGTTATCCAGGCTAGCACCATACGAGCCTGGCCTATGGCTGGGCTTCTGGGAGTAGAATGACTCTCAAAACTCATCAAATGTATTGTGCACGGACACTGCAACATGATACAGTGGTGTGTAGGTACATATGTATCTGGTACACTGTAGTGATGTGTAGTACACTACAGTACAGTGCATTGGTGTGTGTGGTACACTTAATGGTACGTTGGAACATGATGCACTGGTGTGTGAGGTGTACATGTAATAAACAACAACACTGGTGTGTTTGGTATACAAGTATGTGTTACACTGGAGTACCTGTGTGAGGCACATTCATGTGGTACACTGCAACACTTTAGTGAGGTACACATGGATGTAGTACATTGAATTTTTAGACCAGGTTGTTCATGTTAGATAATTATATATACAATGGTTTAAGTATCAGTAATGAGGCATAAAGTGTTCCAGTATGAAACTATTTTAAAAAAAAGTAATTGGTATCAAAACTCAGTTTGACAGTCTTGAGATTACCAGTTCAGTATGCTATCTGTTAGGCTTCAGAAGAGCATAAAGGATAAGGGGTAATCTTGCTGGTAGTCTCTGGATGGTCAGACTGAGTTTGAATCCTGATCACTTAAAGAGTATTTTACATTGATTCATGATGCATTTCTCAGTACATGCAAATCTATACAGGGCAGCTATCCCACGGCCACTGTGGACAAACATTATGATGCCAAATAAATAAACAAGGTTGAGTTTCCTGATACCAGCTTGCAGCTGTCATATTTATACACGGCCTTGGTACCAAATTTAAGATTTTTATTTTATGCACTGAGTACTGCCAATGATATAGTTTAAAGACCTTGAAACACATTGTTACAAAATACATTTTTGTTCTTTTTTTTTATCAGTCAGGCACTGCCACCCATTAATGTACTTGCCTATTTGTGGTTGCAGGGGTCAAGTCTCAGATCCTGGCCCTACCTCATAACTTGCCACTCTTTAGATTCACTCCCTCTTAGCCTCATGGGACCTATCTTATCTGCTCTAAAACTATGTAAGGAACCTATCTCCACCACTTCCTCACCAAGATCATTTCAAATTTGTACCACTCTGAGACTGAAGAAATACTTCTCAACAACCTTTTGGCTCATCTGTGACTTTAACTTCCAACAGTGTCCCCGAGTTCCCATTTCTCGCCTCTCCCTGTTTACCTTATCAGTTCCCCAAAGTATTTTGTTATCATGTCTTCCCTGATTTTTCTGTCCTCCAATGCTGTTAGGTTCAATTCCATTAGCTTCTTGTAGCTCAGGAATAAGTCTAGTTGCATACTTTTGCACAGGTGCAGGTTCCATACTGGTGCTGTATACTTCAAAATGGACCTTGTCATATATTGTATAAAGGGTCCTGGAATGACTTTGTTGAGATTCCTGAAGGCTATGCTTAGATTTGCCCAACAGGTATTGGCTACAGAGGTTATTTGGCTGATGTTAGCCACTAGCATTATACTGGCACTTTGCTTACTCCAGATTTTTCTCTTTGAATAAAGTCTGCAGCCTCTGTCCCTCTAGTGTCTTCCCAGTTTCAGGATTCTTACCCTTTACCTGACCATTCTTGCAATTTGTCCAGATACCTTTGGAGCCTTTTCTTGTCATCTTGTTTTTATTCTCCTTAGGTTTACATCTTCAGGAAACAGATATATATCTGAATCAGTCACATCTGATATGTCATTCACATAAATCAGAAACAGTACTGGTCTTAATATGGATCATTGCAGAACCCCGCTAGTTACCCTTTTTTTTTTTTCCAACATATCGGCTGTTTCCCACCGAGGCAGGGTGAACTAAAAAAGAAAAAAAAGTTTTTTTTTTAAATTTAGTAATTTATACAGGCCTTAGACAGGGATGTGTAATGTCACCATAGTTGTTTAACATATTTATAGATGGGGTTGTAAAAGTAGTAAATGCTAGGGTGTTTGGGAGAGAGGCAAGATTAAATTATGGGGAGTCAAATACAAAATGGGAGTTGACACAGTTACTTTTTGCTGATGATACTGTACATTTGGAACATTCTAAAGAGAAGTTGCAAGGGTTAGTGGACGAGTTTGGGAGGCCGGGTAAAGGAAGAAAGTTGAAAGTGAACATAGGTAAGAGTAAGGTGATGAGGGTATCAAACGAGTTAGGTAAAGAAAATTTGGATATCACATTGGAGGGAGGAAGTGTATCTATTAGTTATTTTCCATAGGGAAGTAGAGAAGAAGCTTTCCTCCATAAGCTATGCATGACATAAGAACATAAGAAAGGAGGAACACTGCAGTATGCCTGTTGGCCCATACTAGACAGGTCCTTCACAATCCATCCCACTAACAGAATATTTACCCAACCCAATTTTCAATTCTACCAAAGCAATAAGTTTGGATAATTCTATTAACTTATGTGCAAGTACCACTCAAATCCAAGCCCTCTCTCTGTATTTATCCAACCTAAATTTGAAACTACCCAAGGTTTTAACCTCAATAACCCTACTAGGCAGACTGTTCCACTCGTCAACTACCCTATTTTCAAACCAATACTTTCCTATATCCTTTCGAAATCTAAACTTCTCTAATTTGAATCCATTACTGCGAGTTCTCTCTTGGAGAGAGATCCTCAAAACCTTATTTATATCCCCTTTATTAATACCCATCTTCCACTTATACACTTCGATCATGCCTCCCCTCATTCTTCATTAACAAGTGAATGCAATTTAAGGGTCTTCAATCTTTCTTCACAAGGAAGATTTCTTCTTCTTTCTTTCAACGCACCAGCCATATCCCACTGAGGTGGGGTGGCCCAAAAAGAAAAGCAAAAGTTTCTCGTTTTAAATTTAGTAATAGTATATATAGGAAAAGGGGTTACTAGCCCCTTGCTCCCGGCATTTTAGTCGCTTCTTACAACATGCATAGCTTACGGAGGAAGAATTCTGTTCCACTTCCCCATGGAGATAAGAGGAAATAAAAAAGAACAAGAACTAGAAAGAAAATAGAAGAAAACCCAGAGGGGTGTGTATATATATGCTTGTACATGTATGTGTAGTGTGACCTAAGTGTAAGTAAAAGTAGCAAGACATACCTGAAATCTTGCATGTTTATGAGACAGACAAAAAACACCAGCAATCTTACCATCATGTAAAACAATTACAGGTTTTCATTTTACACTCACTTGGCAGGACGGTAGTACCTCCCTGGGCGGTTGCTGTCTACCAACCTACTACCTAGGGGGAAGATTTCTAATGCTATGTATTAATTTAGTCATTCTAAGCTGAATGTTTTCTAAAGAATTTATGTCCATTCTGTAATATGGAGACCAGAACTGAGCTGTGTAATCTAGGCGAGGCCTTACTAATGATGTATAAAGCTGTAATATAATCACTGAACTAATGTTGCTTACACTTCTTGATATAAATCCCAGTAATCTGTTTGCCTTATTACGTACGCTTAGGCATTGCTGTCTTGGTTTAAGGTTACTGCTTATCATAACCCCCGAAGTCCTTTTCACAATCTGTATGGCTAAGTTCTACATTATTTAACCGATAAGTGCTAGGGTTATGGACACTCCCGAGCTTCAGAACCTTGCATTTATCTACATTTAACTGCATCTGCCACTTTTCTTACCAGGTATTGAGTTTGTCTAAATCCTCCTGAAGTTCCCTGACATCTACATTTGAATCAATTATCCTACCTATCTGTGTCATCGGCAAATTTGCTCATTTCACTAGTAATTCCCTCAAGATCATTGATATAAACAACAATGGGCCCAAGACTGATCCCTGTGGAATGCCACTTGTTATAGATCCCCAATGCCAGGAGCAAGGGGCCAGTAACCCCTTCTCCTGTATAAAAGAAGAAAAACTTTGTTTCTTCTTTTTTTGGGCTACTCTTGCCTTGATGGGAGACAGCTGTTGTGTTAATATATATATACATACACACATGCTTACATGCACATGCGCACGCACACACATTAAATTATGAACTGTATTAAGATTTTATTTTGCTTCACCCCCAAGGGAGTGATTTGATGGTGATGAAGGGCTCTGGATCCAAAGAATTGAAGATAGCCATTCCTTCCTTGGATCAAACCTGTTTACTCCCATTCCTCAGTGCTTCCCATGAGTATTATGATTAATAATAATATTGCTCCACATTAAAAATTTCACTTTTTAAGATATATTATTTAATTGATAATTTCAAATGTAATTTAAAAAATACTGATAAATTATTTAATTTTTAATTAAAATTACTATCGGTCTTAGTTATGTGCAAATTTGTTTCAGAATATATATTACTCCAGAAATATTCCTAATGTACAGTTTTTCTTAAATTTTGATATTAAATGTTTAGAAGTTACTGTATAGACAGATTATTCAATAGAATTTGTATATAACTGTTTATTGACTTATCATGTGTAATGTTGATAAACTTAATATTATAATCTAAAATAATGATGAAAAGGATTGATACATACTTAATATACATATTTTTCAACTGTTTTGAATTTTACTTAAAATATCCATAAATTTGACATTTACCTCAACATTTATTACTTAAAGTGATAATTTAAAAAGTATGGAGTATATGGTAGATGCATGTTGCTTAAGTTATTTAGATCCTTCTGGTCAAGTATTTGACCACCCCAAAACAATAACACCCAGTGAGTATGAGGTGGTTTGATTACATGTCTCATTCTGCCCAGAATTCCAACTTAAGGACCTTTAAGTTCCAAGCTTCTTGCCTTGGATTCTATAATTTTAACACCAGAGGTGCCACGCTCATGAGAATGTTGTTTTTCCAATTACAAAAACAAATGGTCTAATGATCCAGGGCTGGGCCGAGGGAGTAGGTAAACTCTCAAAACCCATCCAAGGTACAGTGAGGTACTTATGAAACTATTTTATGCTTTAATTTACATCTAGCATTTTTTTTTTTTCAACAAGTTGGTCGTCTCCCGAGGCAGGGTGACCCAAAAAAGAAAGAAAATCCCCTAAAAGAAAATACTTTCATCATCATTCAACACTTTCACCACACTCACACATTATCACTGCTTTTGCAGAGGTGCTCAGAATACAACAGTTTAGAAGCATATACGTATAAAGATACACAACATATCCCTCCAAACTGCCAATATCCCAAACCCCTCCTTTAAAGTGCAGGCATTGTACTTCCCATTTCCAGGACTCAAGTCTGACTATAAGAAAATATTATTATACATTATTATAATTAAAATCAAAACCAAGCGCTAAACCCACGAGGATCATACATACATGTAGTATTGAAATCATAATCCTTAGTTCACTAAACATTTGTATTTAACAAAAATTAAATTCACATCACATTGTAAATTTACTAAGCATTTATAGTTTCATATTCTTCTTGACAGAAACTGAAATCATATGCAGAAAGATAATATTTTTAACAAGCTTGAGTTCACCACATGCTGAAATTTATCAGCATCAAGCTTAATGTAAAGTTACATATTTCTCCAGTGACAATATGGATGATGCAATAAAATGTTCATAACTGTTATGTATAAAAACACCATCAAATATAGAAGAAATCACAATAAAATGCATAATTGCAAATATGTAAAAATACCACAGTGAAAATTTAAAATGAAACCCAAGTGGTTTCATGTGTTCACATTTCTGAAGATGTGTGTAAGCACATGAAAGCACTCAGGTTTTATTTCATATTTTAACTGTGGTATTTTTACATCTTCAAATACAATGGTACCCCGGGATACAAACTTAATTCGTTCCAGAAGGTCGTTCGTGTTTTGATACCAAACGAATTTGTTCCCATAAGGAATAATGTAAATTAGATTAATCCGTTTCAGACCCCCAAAAATACACTTAACAAAAGCACTTACATAAATACACTTACATAACTGTTCGAGTTTTGAGCTGTTCATATCCCGAGGTACCACTGTATATGGATGATGTAATGCTAGGAAAGCAATCTACAACTTAAGTTAGACCAAAATTGTAATATGAAGTGAATGGTGGTGGTGTGTGATCTATTGTCAACCATCCCTCACAAGGTGTGCAAAACCTGCAGACAGGAAAGGGGCCAAAAAATGATGCGACAGTCTATTACTGGTGTTATATAGACTAAGTTTTTAATGGAAATAATAAAATAAATAATGAAGCTTCTGGAGACAAGGGGTCTTTGTCAAAACAAAATACAGAGTACAGTATCAAGGATGGCAACAAAATCTCCAAACTGTAGGAGAAAATGTGAGATATTAATTATGAAATGTTCAGTCCCTGGAGCAGTAATAATATTAATCCATCCTGTGACCATTCTCCTTTCCTAAACTTCGGCAAAGAAAATCCCACACATCCTTGTTGGTGTCCCATTTTCTTTTGGGACTGCATGATCAGATGTTTGAAGAAGAGAGAGTGAGTTTATCATATCAAGTTGTAATCCAACTACGCTATTAAAAAAATACCATGTTGCTCTTACTCTGGCTTTCCCTGGCAATCTATTTAACACTCGTTAATAGCCTCTACTACAGTTACTAGCATGTAACCATTACAATGGTCTCGCCCTATGTTTCTGCCTCTTCACTTGCAGTCATATTTACTATTTCCTGGCCTATGTCTCCATCTGTTCCTCTGGCATCTGTGCAACAACCCCAAAAACTATGATATCCATATCAATAACACGCACCCCAGTTCCTTCCCCTACCATACCCAGATGAAGTAATTCTGTTTTGTCGTCACAGATCCTTTGATTTTTTGACACTATCTTAAATGAGGAAAATTCACAGGACCCTCAACCAAAACAAAATGCACCAATGTATTACTGAGATTCTCGCCATACATTACCTTCATTAGCAATCATGTGTCATACTTTCAATAACCCCTGTAATTCACAACCACCACCTTCTAACACAATCAAACAATCAACATCTCTTAATTTACTACCCCAACTCTTATACATCCACATGTGTCATTTTTCCCTTACCTACTTGGAAAGTTATGATTTAATGTTGCTTTTCCCTTCTTTCCATGGCTGAATGCTCATATGTCCTGCCAAGTGAGTGTAAAACGAGACCCTGTAATTGTTTTACATGATGGTAGGATTGCTGGTGTCTTGTCTGTCTCAAACATACAAGATTGCAGGTACGCCTTGCTACTTCTACTTACACTTAGGTCACATTACACATACATGCTGAAAAAAAAAAATTATTGGCCTGCCTGAGGAGGCCAATAAGTATAATGGCCTGCCCTATAAAGAGGTTAACCTCTAACTACTACTGACTTCAACTTGGCTGAAGTGTGTCAGCTTCAACTATTCCTCGTTCAGACCACCCATGAACTACAGGCAGAAGTTTGGCTTAGCAATGAGATCACCTTTCAGTGGTAGTTTAGCCAACACTTCCTTTAGCACTTAAGTATTGCTTACAATACTTCAAGGAGCATCCAAACCAGGCAAAGCCTTCTGTGCATTTCACTCTGGAGAAGTTAACATGCTGCCCTTCCTGGACATAAGGCTCACAAGGTAAGGAGACCTACTTAAGCTTACTGTATACTGAAAACCAACAAAAACAACCTTGCTCCCTCCCACTCCCATCAAGATTCACTTGAGATCCACAGTGGTGACTTATTGCAAGATGAGTAAGATAACATAAAAAACACAATCCAACCTCGAATTCCCTCACCGAGTGTTTTATTCACTTCAAGCAAAGAGCTCATGATATCAGTGACAGGAACCAGAACAAAATTTAACAAAAATGCATATTACTTACCCTCACCACAGCCAACACAGTGACCCCTTTACTAACCACAGAACTAGTGGGAGTTAGAATCCATGGCAAGCGAGTCAAAGCTCCAGGCCAGTGTGTAAGCCATTCAGCCAGCTGGCTAAAATAAGATTCATGCTAATCTCTATGGTGTATAAATATATCTAGTTGGATGAATTTTATTGTAGCCAGCTGGCCCAGTGGCTTATGCACTGGCCTGGAGTTTTACTACTTGCTCACCATGGGTTCTAACCCCACCCATTCTGTGGTTTATTTACAATCATGTTATTACAATTTCATGAGCCATGATGACCCTTATACTAAGCAAATCCAACATCGATATTGCTGTGCTTACTACCAAAATCATCCAAGACATAATTAGAACCTCCACACACTACACTGGACCAAAGGTTGCAGGAGTTTATAGCATCTCCTGAAGACATTGCTAAGAGTCATCCCATCTGCTCAAAAGAACACAAGTGTGAATGTAGAATGGAACGTGTCAACAAAGCATGTATTCAACACATTCCCACATCATGGCACAGGACATTATTATAATCATAACTAAGCACTAAACCCACAAGGGTCAGGCATGGGATAGATCCAGGCTGTTTGGAGTCCTACAATCAAACTAGCACCATAAAGCAAAATTATGGTATATTCACATAGATTCCCATAACACCTCATCTTGGAACAAAGGAAACCAGGTGTGGATCAGAAGGCTTATCACAGCACGCTACTTGCTTTTACACTTAACCACCCACCATGGACACTACGTAAACTTCAGTTTTTTTTTCATTGTGCTAAGTACTTTATATTATTATACTCATAACCAAACTTAAACCCACAAGGGACATACAGCACTGCAGGGTAGGGTGTGCTTGCCTAATTCGAGACTATTGAGGGTGGAGAGGATAACAAAGGGTAAAGTTAGAAAGGGCTGTGAGGAGTGCTAAAGAAAGTACCAAAGTTGCTGTCTATGTGCTTGATAAAGTCTATATTAGTATGTTTCATCCACAAGCAAACTTCACTGAATTAATTGTATTTACAACAAATTATATTAATTTTGCACCTGCACTAATTAGCCCTAACACACCCAAACTGCAGTGCTGGATGACCCACATGGTTTAGTGCTTTTTTTAAATACTAAACTAAAAATGAATCTCCAGGTTGTTTTTACAGAAGAGAATATTGTAGACTTTATGCTGGAGGACTCTCTGATCTAAGTAACTGGAGCTACCCTCCCCTTCCTTGGATCAAACCTGACTATATCCCATTCTTTAGGTGCTGAGAGATCCTTAGAGATTTAGAATTTTCCCATAAATTAATAATAATTTACATGAAGTGAATTTGATTGTAATCAAAATCAAGTGCTAAACCTATAAGGCAGAGAACCCTCATCAAGGCTAGATAATATTTCACAACGGGTTTTTGAAGTGTGCACAACTGAGCTATCCTTTACTTAATTTTTTTTTGTGGGGGGGGGGGGGTTGAAGAGAGAATTTGCTACAAGTAAAAATACAAATCTATTTGAAAACCTTCAATAATCTGAAGGCCACAGGAAAATGGCAAATGTACTGATGTTCAAAAAAAGATAACAGGTCTGTTGATTATTAAGTGATAGGCTTATAAATTAAAGGGTGATATTGGAATAGTTTGAAGGATAGGCCTATAACTGAACAACGCTTCTAAGACAAGGAAACTCACTGTTCACCTAACAGTAAGTGTTAGTCGACTGGTGTGAGTGGCATCCTGGGAGGACAATATTTAGGGACCACAATGGAAACAAGACAGTCCTGGATGATGCAATGACTTGATTGGGTTATCCTGGGTGGATAAGCCTTCCTACCCCAGGTTAAAAAATCAGAACAACTCTTATAGCCTAACATCACTAGAAGGGCATGTCTAGGGGAGATATTATTATGGCATACAATATACTCAGGGAATTATTGAATATAGGGACTGGCTAAGATGCCATGATTGATATTAGGCTGCAGGGTAAGCCAGGAAACAAGACGAGAGATAAAAATGTAAACGAGACATAGGACTTTTATGAAGTACTTTTTCAGGTGTCAGGTTGCTGAGTATGTGGAAGATACTATTGCAGACACAGTTTCAAGAGTAGGTATGACCATACTGTAGATGCAAGAAATATGGTAAGTTTAAAGGCAGGGCCAGGAGCTATGAAGCGACCAATGCAAGCACTATTAGACAGATAGACAGTGAACAGTACTGGTACATGATTGACAACACCAGGACTGTCTTGTTAATGGGACGGGGAAGGCACCTTGTTGGTGGCGAAAGGCTCTTCATCCAAGGAATTGAAACTACTCTCCCCTTCCTTGGATCAAATCTGATTACATCCCATTCCCTAGATATATAACCACTAAGTTTATTGCTACTCCATCAATATTATTATTATAATGGCGACCAAATGTTTATAAACTATTGCAAACAATTGATGTTATGTAGACAATCTAAAAAAAAAATTTAACTTAGATACAAGGTGATGATGGGGAGCGCTAAACCCGTAGGATTATACAGCGCATGTGGGAGAGAATGGAAGGTATTCAGGCTTAATTCCAGGGAACCCTAGATCAAGAGCCCCTCACCAGCGTCAAGGAAGCTCCGGTGAGAGGCTGATACAGAGTGTACAAGTGTAGTGTGTGAAGGTCAGGAGGGAGAGATGTGTCACAGCTGCTCTCACTACCAGCCACTGACTCTCTGATACTCACACTCTACCTCACTGTTAGTTTCACTTATATCTGGTATTTTTACACCAAGACATATGGGTAAGTCTCCTAACACGAGCTGTCCCTATTACCTAGCAGGAAATAGGTACCCAAGAGTTATATCAGCTCTTGGGGAGGCTAAAAATGATACAAATGGAAATATGTTACACAGCTTGGACTGCTAACTCTCCCGGGTCTCTAAACCCAATATATATTTTTCAATGTTACATTGGTAATATATTACAACATCCCAGTGGTGAGGTACCTATCTACACAGCTTATCATCAGCCCAACAACTACAACCCAGTAAGTATATAATACCTCGAATTTAGCTTTCACTATGATCCACGTTGTTTGGCTTATGTTCTTGTGACCCCACCGTGTTCACACGCTACATGACCCCATCGTGTTCACACGCTATATGACCCCACCGTGTTCACACGCTATATGACCCCATCGTGTTCACACGCTATATGACCCCATCGTGTTCACACGCTATATGACCCCATCGTGTTCACACGCTATATGACCCCATCGTGTTCACACGCTATATGACCCCATCGTGTTCACACGCTATATGACCCCATCGTGTTCACACGCTACATGACCCCATCGTGTTCACACGCTAATGACCCCATCGTGTTCACACGCTATGAACCCCATCGTGTTCACACGCTATATGACCCCATCGTGTTCACACGCTACATGACCCCATCGTGTTCACACGCTATATGACCCCATCGTGTTCACACGCTATATGACCCCATCGTGTTCACACGCTATATGACCCCATCGTGTTCACACGCTACGTGACCCCATCGTGTTCACACGCTGTATGACCCCATCGTGTTCACACGCTATATGACCCCATCGTGTTCACACGCTATATGACCCCATCGTGTTCACACGCTATATGACCCCACCGTGTTCACACGCTATATGACCCCATCGTGTTCACACGCTATATGACCCCATCGTGTTCACACGCTATATGACCCCACCGTGTTCACACGCTATATGACCCCACCGTGTTCACACGCTATATGACCCCACCGTGTCCACACGCTATATGACCCCACCGTGTCCACACGCTATATGACCCCATCGTGTCCACACGCTATATGACCCCATCGTGTTCACACGCTATATGACCCCATCGTGTTCACAAGCTATATGACCCCATCGTGTTCACACGCTATATGACCCCATCGTGTTCACAATCTATATGACCCCATCGTGTTCACACGCTATATGACCCCATCGTGTTCACACGCTATATGACCCCATCGTGTTCACAAGCTATATGACCCCATCGTGTTCACAAGCTATATGACCCCATCGTGTTCAAAACGCTTATGACCCCATCGTGTTCACACGCTATATGACCCCATCGTGTTCACAAGCTATATGACCCCATCGTGTTCACAAGCTATATGACCCCATCGTGTTCACACGCTGTATGACCCCATCGTGTTCACACGCTATATGACCCCATCGTGTTCACACGCTATATGACCCCATCGTGTTCACACGCTATATGACCCAAACATATTCACACGCTATATGACCCCTTACATGTTCACACGCTATATGACCCCTTACGTATTCACACGCCATATAACCCCTATGCATTCACACGCTATATAACCCCTATGTATTCAACACGCTATATGACCCCTTACGTCTTCACAAGCTATATGACCCCTTACGTCTTCACACGCTATATGACCCCTTACGTCTTCACACGCTATATGACCCCTTACGTCTTCACACGCTATACCCCAACGTGTTCACACGCAATATGTAATAAGGGGGGAGACAGTTGTGTTTAGCAGCTTAGCGGTAAATATAGTAGGTGTACTCGACTATAATTACATTTAAGAAACACGTTAAACCAGACTTGTGTGTTGTACTGATCAAGTCAATATACACAGTGATAAAGCCAATATACACAGTGGTAAAGCCAATATACACAGTGGTAAAGCCAATATACACAGTGATAATGCCAATATACACAGTGATAATGCCAATATACACAGTGATAATGCCAATATACACAGTGATAATGCCAATATACACAGTGATAATGCCAATATACACAGTGATAAAGCCAATATACACAGTGATAAAGCCAATATACACAGTGATAAAGCCAATATACACAGTGATAAAGCCAATATACACAGTGATAAAGCCAATATACACAGTGGTAAAGCCAATTACACGTGTAAAGCCATAATTTCCAGTGATAAAGCCAATATACACAGTGATAAAGCCAATTACACAGTGATAAAGCCAATATACAAGTGATAAAGCCATATATCAACAGGATAAAGCCAATATACACAGTGGTAAAGCCAATATACACAGTGGTAAAGCCAATATACACAGTGGTAAAGCCAATATACACAGTGATAAAGCCAATATACACAGTGATAAAGCCAATATAACAGTGTAAAGCAATATACACAGTGAAACACTGGTGCGAACGTCTACAGAATAAAGATTCACATGTTACACGTGTCTAATTTATCTTAGTAAGTTTATTCAGGTATACACAAATACACATGGATTATCATACATAGCAGCATACACGTACATAGATCATCATACATAGCAGCATACACGTACATAGATCATACATAGCAGCATACACTTACATAGATCATCATACATAGCAGCATACACTTGCATAGATCATACATACCTGGAGTTTACCTGGAGAGAGTTCCGGGGGTCAACGCCCCCACGGCCCGGTCTGTGACCAGGCCTCCTTAGGTCAGTGTCCCAGGATGCGACCCACACCAGTCGACTAACACCCAGGTACCCATTTTACTGATGGGGAACATAGACAACAGGTGGAAAGAAACACGTCCAATGTTTCTACTCTGGCTGGGAATCGAACCCAGGCCCTCACCGTGTGAAGCGAGAGCGTTAACCACCAGGCCACCATAGCAGTATACACTTACATAGATCATCATACATAGCAGCATACACTTACATAGATCATCATACATAGCAGCATACACTTACATAGATCATACATAGCAGCATACACTTGCATAGATCATACATAGCAGCATACACTTGCATAGATCATACATAGCAGCATACACTTGCATAGATCATACATAGCAGCATACACTTGCATAGATCATACATAGCAGCATACTTACATAGATCATACATAGCAGCATACACTTACATAGATCATACATAGCAGCATACACTTACATAGATCATACATAGCAGCATACACTTACATAGATCATACATAGCAGCATACACTTACAAAGATCATCATACATAGCAGCATACACTTGCATAGATCATACATAGCAGCATACACTTGCATAGATCATACATAGCAGCATACACTTCCATAGATCATACATAGCAGCATACACTTGCATAGATCATACATAGCAGCATACACTTACATAGATCATACATAGCAGCATACACTTACATAGATCATACATAGCAGCATACACTTGCATAGATCATACATAGCAGCATTACACTTAATGATCATACATAGCTACACTTACTACATCATACATAGCAGCATACACTTACATAATCATACATAGCAGCATGCATTACATGGATCATACATAGCAGCATTACACTAACATAGATATACATAGCAGCATACACTTACATGATCATCATACATAGCAGCATACACTTACAATAGATCATCATACAAGCAGCATACACTTGGGATAGATCATACATAGCAGCATACACTTACATAGATCATCATAATAGCAGCTACACTTACATAGATCATACATGCAGCATACACTTACATGGATCATACATAGCAGCATACACTTACATAGATCATCATACATAGCAGCATACACTTACATAGATCATCATACATAGCAACATACACTTACATAGATCATACATAGCAGCATACACTTGCATAGATCATACATAGCAGCATACACTTACATGGATCATACATAGCAGCATACACTTACATAGATCATACATAGCAGCATACACTTACATAGATCATCATACATAGCAGCATACACTTACATAGATTATCATACATAGCAGCATACACTTACATAGATCATCATACATAGCAGCATACACTTGCATAGATCATACATAGCAGTATACACTTACATAGATGGTATAAACCTTGGTAATAAATACCGACAAGTTGGTTTAGAAAGACACGTAAGCAAACACTAACATATTAGAAAACGTTTCGGTCCTGGGACCTTGATCACTTCTAACATACAGAAGCAAAGCAAAGCAAACAAGTTTAGGTAAGATCCCAATGGGATGAGCGTGGAAGACGGGACAGATGAAGAATAGCTCTGGAGAGGAGTGTTCTTAGTAAGAGAAATAGAGCCAGGGCTTAACCCAGCAGCTAAGGCGATCGTGGGGCAGACTTGAGAACGGGAATAGCAGGGACTGTTGCATTGAACTTGTGGTAGTTGAAGTCTTGAATCTTGAGTAGCTGGCAGCAGGCTAGGTCACATCAGAGGGTAGAACACATATGGGAGTTATAGGAGTAAATGGTATGAGTGTCTTTTTCCACAGTTATAGGAGTAACTGAGGAGGCAGGTTAGCAATGGAGCCATTTTCGAACTTTTTGAAGCTGCTTCTAGATAGGTGGTAAAAATTTAGCCTTGTTGCTGAAGGGTGAAACGTAGAGGCTTGATGAACTAAAGAACTTGGGAGTGTGAAGTGAAGCGGTGATTCACATGCATACTTGACTGTTCCAGCACCGAGGCTTTTGTAGAGTTCATACAGTCATGGTGTCAGTATTAAAGGGAGAAGTGTAAAAGGTAAGGTTTTTCCCATGAGGGTTTACTGGAGTCGTCGTATCTTCCTCTTCTGGATGAATTCACTGGGAGAATCTACAATGTGGTAGCGGGTGACTGAGGGTCGACAGGACAGCTGGGGAGTGAATGGTTGTGTAACAGCGGGCTGGGGAGAGGTGGAGACGGTGGCTGAGGCAACTTGACAACGTTCCCGCGGGGGAAGTGGTTATAGAAGGGTTTCAGGAGCAGTTGCTTGGCAGGAGA